TGTCAACAGCGTGATCAAAATAATACAGTGGTAACAGAGACTTGCAATGCAAATGATTCATTATGTCCATTTCCTACTAAAAAGCATTACAAATAATCCGAATTGTAAGGCAAATTTTCAAACAAAATTGTTGCGGTTTTTTTCATTTCGGAGCGATTTGAGCGAAATGTAGGAACTTGCTCAGTCAAGTCATATTCATATATTCAACAAATTCAACGGTAAGGGAAAACAGCACCAAGGTAATTTACATTTGCACTCCCACGCATCTAGGTTTCCACTGAACACAGATTAGCGACATCTTTGATGTATCCATGTAGTGCTGAGAAAAGTGCAATGAGGTGGGTCGGAAATTCTGCCATGATATTGGGTTGCCGGGTGGTAAAAACATACCTTGAGTACAGGTGTTCCAAGTATCCATAACGCAAGGACATGCCCTGCTCGCATGCCGGTATGGAACATTTGCATATCAAATGGGTCGAACCAGCAGTTCAGCCCGCGGACGGTTCTCAGAAGTTAGTCACGGCGTTCATGGCATCACGACCTCACTTGAAAGTGCACCCAACCATGACTGAGCCAAACCAGCAGCGCAAGCAAGCTTTCTCGGTGGTCGTGAGTACCCGGTGAACCCTTTCCTTATAAGTATCGGGCCCATTCGGTGGCATCTTGCCTTAGTGCTACACGATTTGCTCTTGTTGGTACCTTTTATTGCTGCTACATTACAGTTACACTTGTTGAATGTCAGTGAATATCACTGAGCCAGCCTCGCCGCGGTACTGTCGCCAGCAATCTACATAATTTGTTGTCGCTCTCAATGTGTGAAATGACGCAGCCTTGAAACACTTAACATAAGCCGAAAGCCAAAAGTCTCATAAAGAAAACAGTCATGTCGTTTCTAAAGCAACGGCACAAGTGTCCCATCATATGGGCATGTGTACATGAATATGTTAAAGTGGATATAACAAATCGACATGCTACACATTTTTTCGTTTCCAAACTTGATGTAAAATGAAAAAACTAAAAAAGAACAGTCGGCTTGCGGCAATGTGTAATGCAAGGTGCGATAGCAGGCTTCGGGCCAGGATGCGTTGCATTGTTCAAGTGTTGCAATATGCCGTATGCATCGCCACTGAAGCGATTCCGAAGCGTGAAAAACTGTGCGCATGCTTAATGTGTATGCACGGTGTCAGTTGTCATGTGACAAAGCAACATTCAGGACAAGTGCATTCTATTAGTATCGAAGTTGTGAGTGTATTGCACGTGTTCTTTGTCAACGGTTTGCATTATGTATTTACTGCTGACATGAAAAACCGGTCATTTATTCTACTTTGGTTGCTTCAAAGGGATAAGTATGTTAATATGCATGTGATGTCTAAGGTTTTTTCAATGCGTGCTTGAGCCTACTGTCATGAATATTATGGTCCGACCAAGGCTGAACAAGAAGTAGAGATTTTCCCGAAAGGTACCGTTGAATATAACCAAGCTGGTTGAAATGCAGTCTTTTTTACATTTACGATGTCTCATCTCAGTAATATTTTGAAATGTATTAAGCAAGTGTTTGTTAGTTGCGGTGGTGGTATCAGGGGATGCTAATTGTTTTATTTGCTTGTGGTGTGTGACTTTTATGTGGTACGAGAGCAGAAAAATGTGGGTTATATTTGTTTCCTTTGTGATAGTTTCAACCGTCAGATTTTCAATTCTAAGTTGGCTAGGCAAATGATTTATAACTGGAAGTTTAACTTTGTTGTTGCATTGACAGTATTCAGGCACACATATACAGTGAAAGCAAGCATCTGTGGGCTGTCCTGGGTGACTTGCGTGACCTTGTGGCTGAGATCCATGAGTCAGGGTCTTGTACTTTTAAACAATCAGTGGCAACAAGCATTCTAGGTTCAGTTTTTTCCGTGGTCCAGAAATTGGCTTTTAGGAAGGAACCAGTTGGAACTATGATCTTAGGCTTTGTTTTATCGAAACGACCAGTGAGATCCAAGATCCAGTATCTTGGTCTGCCGAAAAATCAAGCAGGAACCAGAATCTAAGGTTTTGTTTTGTCGACAGACCCAGTGGAAACAAGGATCCAGGGTTTCGTTTTGTCGAAGGAGCCAGTGGGAACCAGGAACCAGAGCTGGGAACCAGGCGCATGCCTGGCCATGTCTGAGACGTGCGTGGATACTTCTGATTACTGCCCACAGCAGTGATGGAGTGCGGTTACATGCCTGGCCATGTCTGAGACGTGCGTGGATACTTCTGATTACTGCCCACAGCAGTGATGGAGTGCGGTTACATGCCTGGCCATGTCTGAGACGTGCGTGGATACTTCTGATTACTGCCCACAGCAGCGATGGAGTGCGGTTACATGCCTGGCCATGTCTGAGACGTGCGTGGATACTTCTGATTACTGCCCACAGCAGCGATGGAGTGCGGTTACATGCCTGGCCATGTCTGAGACGTGCGTGGATACTTCTGATTACTGCCCACAGCAGTGATGGAGTGCGGTTCAAGCATGGCATCTCACTGCGGGATGGTGAAGTGGATTCGCAAATTACGCTCTCAAATTCCTCACACCATTCCCACTCGATGATGCCGTAGGGGCCTCTTGCAGAATAGAGCCTTGCATTCACGTGCCCTAATGTTCATCTTGAAAATGAAATGAAAATTGGATGCCATCGCAGCGAATACCTCTAAGTTAACGGTTTGTCTACGTGGCCCTAATTTTGCCGGTTAATCCTGTGCACTTACAACCAGAAATAATTGTCTGATTCTACTTCACAACGCTTTTCTATCCATACATAGCGTCCACGCACGAAGACGCCAAGAGAGACAGCCAAAATAATACCTTACTGAGAGCTTAGTTCAATAAATCAGTGTAGTGTACGCGAATGCACCAGCGGTGACTTCGTAACACCGACCTTTCCGTAGTATTAGTTCACCACTATGGTGCACCAGCGTCCTCAGCACTATGACAAGTGCAGTCTTCCGGTGAACCTTCGTCTGCACTGTTTTGGACACCCCTGTCACGAGTGAACTGTGTGTGACGAACACTTCAATCAAGGTGTCCTTTCTGCCCCTGTTTTCTCTGCGCGCCTATGGCCAAGATAGAAAGCTATGAAACCATCTCATTGAGTGGGGAAATCAGCAAGGCCAGGGGGCGCCAAGTGGTTGAAAACACTTTCTGAGCAGACTGGAGAAATCACTGGTGTATCTTGATCGCACCACTGCCCGCGCTTGATGAGACATCATTATCGTGAAACCATGACGCTTAGTGTTGAATGGTGTAATGTCATTAGTCACCAATCGCAACGTCAAAACATCGATTACCGCTCACCTACCTCGAGTGTGGCAGGCATCGGCTTACGGACAGCAGAGTTTCCCGCCATGCCCATCAACATCTGTGCAGTTTGAGGGCATATCGAGTCGGCATTGTGCTTTAATATCAAGTCGCTGAGTGATCCCGGATGCACGGGAGAAAAACTATTTCTCCTTACATTACTCGATATCTTCAACTACCCAGCGGGGATCTGGTGCATTGACCGATGCAATAATGCCGCAGGTTGTGAGAGCCTAAGTGGTCAGGCTGTATTACCTCCGGTCTGGAATTATCCGTTCGGTGCTATAGAGACGCGATCCGTCTGGAGTTGCGGAGCAAGGTCTTATGCGAAGGGCAAAGTGCGGTGGTTTGAAGGCAGTCAGTGTGACGTTCGTTTCAAAATATTTGCAGATGGGCTGAATCAGGTGCTTGCGAGACAAGACTGACTCTCCTTTGTGTAAAATATTGCAAGCTCGATTAGGAAATAACACACTAACAAATATGATGGGAACATGTATGGACGGAAAAGAAATTACTGGTTTGCGTCAACTGCAATTTTTATAGGAACATTTTAGGCAATGAGCGGCACTTTACACTACCCCCATTTGAGAAAAAAATTCAAAAGGAAATGTCCTGGTATGTTAGGTGCGGTCGCAGGATTTGCAAAGCAGTCTCCATAAACAGTGTGTACTCAATGGGAATAAAAGGATCGCTGATTTACTTCGGTCTGGTGGTATTTTCTCTAGGGCAAATGAGCTTCGAAGAAAACGTCCAATTGCAAGAGTAAACTTTCTAAGATACAAAGTCATCATAAGAGCAATGCCATGAATGCAGAAATATGTTGCACTTTTTGATCCAGGCGACCAGTTGAGCACGACTCGGAGGGAAGCGCCATTAGCCTATTTTTTCCGAATAAGACGCGAAAAATCACTGAAGTTCGCAACTCTTCGCTGTACCTGGCTGAACTGGGAAGAATCGGTCCAAACGCTTTATCGAGGAGGGAGGATGAACAACGTTATAAGGAAGTTTTGGGGGAAATGCTTCAATTTCCTTTTTTTGCACCAATTCCACAAAAAACTTCCGCGCCTGTAATGCTGGAATCGCACCGACTTCCGCTTATTAGCCGGCTTCTGTGCAGGAGAAAAGTTGTAGGCAGTCCAGTGTACCCGCATTGTAATGCAACAGATACAGTATCTCGCTTCTAGTTATAGGCGCATGTATTTAAAACATGGAGTAGCAGAGTAAGTAATCGCATGACAGTTGCCTCACTCGGGATTGTCAAGGGCCGCCATGCACTCAGCCTAATGATTATCTTTATTGAACTATGCATCGTAACGTGCAAGCTGTTCAACAATGGCGTGAAGCGCAGCTATTCCGATTTTCAGGGGACTATGGACCGTTACTGAGAAAGTGAGTGTTCATTGCCCACAAGCATAACGAAATGGACGAATTTAGCGCAACGGTCAGAAACTAGAGGGGCCTAACTTTTAAGAAAGGCGTGACTGTGATCAGCACCGACAGGCCTTCAATGTAGCCATTTCATTCAACACCCCATGTAAATGTGTAACGCCCTCTTTAACACCGTGCAACCACTTGGAAGATTATTGCCTTTATCCACAAGCACGCGTGCGCACGTACAAACGCTTCGTTGGCAACAACGAAGGGGAGGGGGACACACACACACAGTCTGAATTACCTGCGTTACGCCAGTCACCGTTCGTAGATTTGTCGAGGCAGTCACGTGGTGTTCAACTTCGGCAGGGGCCGCTTTGTGCCGACTTGGCCCAGGCACCACGGTCCAATAGACGTCACACCGTCCGTGCCCTCACCTGTCCTCGAACAGGCAGTCCCTCTTCCATGCCCCTCGAGTTCTTCCCTGAGTCTCACTCCCAAGTACAATTTGGTTTTGAGTGGCTGGGTTGATTGACTGATCAGCTGGTTGATGGGTTGGCAGGTCGGTTGTTCGGCTGGTTCGTTCGTTCGTTATATGCGTGGTCTGGATCGCTCGACTGGATAGGATTAGATCGGCGATGAGTTGGTTGGTTAGTTGGGTAGCAGGTCGCCTCTTCGGTCGGTCGTCCGTTATCTGGTTGTGTGGACCCGAGTAGCTCCAGTCCGGCCGTGCTGACTCTGGTGGCCCCGTGTCGCGTGCCGCCGCCGCTGCCGGGTCGGCTCCGGCTCCGCCGACACTGCGCCCGCGTCGGTACCGACGGCACACTGCGATGGCTTCAGCGTCTGCCGACGGCCCAGACTGACGAGAGGCCGCAGGGGGGGGGGGGGGGAGGGGAGGGACTCAGCGCGGGGAGCGCGCCGAGAAAGCTCAAGAGGCCGAGTCGGCATGTCCGCGGCGGCGACATCGACCAGAGTGCGGGGCAGATGACAGGGGCGCAGGGCAGACAGCAGGGGCGCGGGGCAGACGGCGGGGGCGCCGGGCAGACGGCAGGGGTGCGGGACAGACGCCAGGGACGCCGGGCAGACGGCAGGGGCGCGGGGCAGACGGCAGGGGCGCCGGGCAGACGGCAGGGGTGCGGGGCAGATGACAGGGGCGTAGGGCAGGCGGCAGGGGTGCGGGACAGACGGCAGAGACGCGGGGCAGACGGCAGGCCCTAGGGGCTCGTCTGTCGAATATGCCGGGATCGGCGGCCGCGAACTAACCACGCCACGTCACATAACATCACGTCACGTCATGTCACGTGACGTCACGGGGCGATGGCCATGTCTCTCAGGAGCATGCATCGTGTCAGGTCTGTGGTGTTCTCAAATACGCGCGGTGTCGAGTCCGCGGTGTCGAGTCCGCGGTGTCGAGTCCGCGGTACTGTGCGTCTAGCCTCATACGTCAAACATCACACGACCGAATCTACCTGGGGCTGAGACATGCCACATGAGCTTCCCGCGGCAATACATCTACACATCCCACAGATAGATTAAGTGCTCATCTATGCCTCCTGTCACCTTTGCGGTAACCACGCTCGCATCCTAGAAAATGGTGGAATAACAACGGCAGGGATGCTGACGGTTGACCTAGTTTGGTCATATTTTCCATGGTGAATTGTTACAGCAATGCACTAATCCATATCTGACCCCTCACTTACTGCTACTTAAATGACTGTAATTATACCATCGCTGACGCTATATCAAATAAGCAGCAAAGGTCGGAGGTGCGTCTCGTCGCATACGCGGATGGCCTGTCGCGGAATCTGACACCCGGGGATTCCATCCATAACTATTTCCACGCAACACTCAACTGGCGAGGAAGAATTCGACCTACAAATTTAGCAGTCTTGGAATGCAAGGAAAGTGTCGCACAGCAGCCTAATTTCTACGCAGCGCGGGAATCTGTTTGAATCCTAACTCATCATAGGGCAGCCTGATGAGATGACTTTAAGGTACGCTGGTGGAAACGACGGTGGGCGCCCACGTTAGCCTATCTTTAGTTCAGCTGCTCGGAGCTCAGTTCAGTTCAGCTCAGCTCCTTGCTGGATGGAAGACGTGGGTCGAGTGAAAATGATTTTTGCTGGGCTTGCGTATGAGAAATGAAATCGTAATTCATAATAATTCACTTAAGTTCAAGTACATAGTTAAGCTTATAATATGTTTCTTATTTATTTTAGCTAATCCCTATTGCAAGACCTTCAACCCAATGTTGATTCGTTTACATGCCATCGATTTTGCAAGTTGCGTGGGTCATGAGTCAAATGATTAAATACAGGCAATGAGTATAAGCTAAGTCAATAAAAATGGAGCGTCAATGAGTCATAAACTTGATTGGATCCGAAAGTCCGTAAGCCAGTCCTGAGCCGAATAAAAAAATTTAGTCGAATGCAACCCTGTTGAGATGCTCAAGAATATGTCTTGCAGCTACACAAAACCTAAATAGGCGTGTTCCTTTTCAGTTTAGAGTACAGCAGCTTATATTTATGTTACTTTGAGCAAACATCTATGATACAGATTCCGTTAATGTACCAACGTCATCGCGGCACGGTCGGTTGCCGACCGCCGCACACGCCGGCCGTGGAACTCCGTGCGGTGTTCCTCAAAACCGCCGCTGCTCCGAAACCAGAAAAGCCAGGGACACGTTTTTGCTGTCAAAACACGTGCAATTATGATCTCATAGGCTACTGAACATTTAGGAGTGCTTATACAGTAAACCGAAGCGGTACCCTTAAACCATTTTAGGGAGGGGGAGGGGGTCGCATCGACCTCCGCTATCAGGGCGTGGGTTACCATGCACTAGGGTTGGCCACGGAACCCTAGTGCGTGAAACATATTAAGGTTTTTCCCGAATGTCTTTCGAAGGTAGCAGCGCAGCCACGCCAAACTCGGTTAGCTGTAGGCAATTGAGTTGCTGTCTTCAGTATAGCAAATTAAATGTACCTAATAAGGTTGCTGACTTGTACCGCATCAAAAACAGGCCATGGCTGTCACTGAAGGCGGTTCCAATGGAGTCTATCAAGCTGACGTGACAATGAGTGTGAGACGAAGCCATACTGAAATACAAAAGTCCTTGGGCTCTGTCCCTGACTATTTTCACGCAACACCCAACTTGCAAGTGAGGCTCTGGTCCGCAAATTTGGTAGCTTTGGAATGTGAGTAAAGTGGCGCACAGCACTCTTAATTTCTGCGCGGCGCGGAAATCTGCTTGACTCATAGCAGTTAAGCCTTGCAAAATAAATGTGTTACTACTGTCTTATCTATGTGCATAACTTTTCTCGCAAATGCACATAACAACATACGAAGTAATGTTGCTTCCAGGTGACTTCGTAGACAATTACTCCGTTGGCATTGAGAACACAACTAATATCACTGACTTTACGTAAGTCAGATATCTGGTGCGGTTATTAATCTGGCGCTTTGTCTTAGGCGATTTCGAGCAGCCCAGGAGGATCAGTCTCCCACGACATTTTCAAACAGTCTTAGTCTCCCGCCACAAAAATCAGCCGCCCTGATTTTGTATGTGTTTCACATGGAATCACTGAATATACTATGTAGATAATTAAATATACTATATAGATCACTGAACATGCTGTAAAGATCATTGAATATACTATATAGATAATCGAACGTACTATAGAGATAATTAAATATGCAATATAGATCACTTGATACATTATAATAGAGGTGAACTATATTTGTGTTATGATGGATAATCCATTTCGCTCCAGCCTTCAGTGAATCCTAAGATAAGGTATTCACCGATTCGGCGTGATGGCAGTCAGTAGTGATCCTTCGGTTACTGCAGTTGGTGGGGAACAAATGTAGCATTGAGTCGCTTTAGGCGCTCGATATCTGTTCTTGACAGATATGGCCTGCGGCCAGTGGCAGCGGCCGCGCTTGATATCCGCTGACGACAGAGGGCAGCACGGGTCGCGCCAAGCAAAGCGCGTCGTGTTGAACTTTCGCTTTAGCGCGTTGGACTTTCGCCACCAAAGTCTGCCGATGACCTGGAATTTCGCAATCATATGGAATGATTCAGGGTTCACACAACGTGCACTGCATAGTGTAAACTCTGATCGCAGACATCCATCCATTTATAAGTTCGGGTATTTGTTTTTAAAGCCACAACATGGTTTGAATATTAAAAGAGCCTGCAAGTTGTCCTTTGTTGAGGTTGCCGTTGACTTAGAACCTTCGTTTCAAGAGTTGATACCAATGCAGTTTTTCACGTTCTGTCTGCTGTTTTCAAAAATTTTAAGTTTGGTCATGATCGCATTCATAGAGCGACATATCAGTCTCTTTTGCCAAATGCCGAAACGATTTCATTAGCTTCGTTAAAATGGAGCATCCAACTTTTTTGCACTTTCACTTATGTTCCACCAGACGCCTACAATCTAATCAGCAACACCATTTTTCTCGACACCTTTCTAAACAGCCCTGTCGTTTTGAAGTAGCCGCCCCGACATAAAGAACATCATTCGACTCCCTACTCACTACCATGAAAGCCATGCATCTTATTTGCTTGCTTTTTCCAACGTGTGTATTCTGTGATGTTTACAACAGACTAAGGTGTTAATGTGTTTGCGCAACAAATGTTACGAAACCTTGAAACACTTTGTTAAGACAAAATGGCATGCGAACATTGAACTTTTATCCGACGAACTCAACGAAACGTTATGCTATGGTTTTGTTTTCTCCCATTCGGCGTTTACCACAGTGGTTCTTTTCTAGGCGCACTTTGGCTTTGGGAACGACAGTATCATATGATTCATTTGACGCACTGGCTCAAACTTCAACCACCGTGTTGCTCGGTAACAGGACGATGATTGTGTCCGCAGGGAAGAAGCGTAGTCCTGTTAAAAAGCGTTGATAGCGTAATTTGGGCTCGAAAATAATTCAAATTGATACCCTTATTTTGTGCTGACGGTGCTGCAGTGGTACTACACACTGTTATTATTAGACATATATCATGAGGCTTTACTTAAGCGTGCTTTTAAAGTATGCCCCGAAAGTGGGATATTCCCTTTAAAGAAAGCGCTCTAAATTTGTGTGAGGCTTTGAACTGAAATAGCCATCTTGAAGATGATTCGGAGCGGTTCGTAGCCTTGCCCTTCTTAAGACCCCCCTAGCTTCTGAGCTTCACGCCCGCAAAGATGAGCAGATTATTTCGTGGAAACTGTTCCAATGTCCCTCAGGCATCCACAACGCCATAATAACGTCATTCCAATCATACCATTCCATTACCCATGCGGTGGTCGAGGCCTTCGTAAGCATAATTGGCGAGCTGTTCATGTCTCCGTGAGCATGATTTCCAGATATAACGGCCGTCAGTTGCCTCCCTGCCAAGGCCGGGCAAGGTACGATGATGAACTGAATCAATCACGTATTTAGGAGCATATTTTCTTTATAAAAGGCAATCGTGTTGTCTAGAGTAATATTTTATTGCTTGAGTAAATTGTTTGAGTTAAATTGTAATTTTATTGCTTTGAGTATTGCTTGCTTGTTGCTAAGAGTAATATTTTATAGTTAATAGTACATCGATGGTCAGAAGTGAACTTATTTCATACATCTGGCGCCTGCTCCAATCTGCTGCTATGAATATATAGCCCCAGATATATCTGGTGCTACAAATGTGGAACATTAACTTTAAGTACTAATAAATGCTTCAAACTTTTCAGTTGTAAAAAGTAATGTGGATATACCGTAGTGTCATAAATACATGCGTATCTGTCGGTATATAAGACGTATATGCTGACAAAGATAGCTG